GACGATTTTTTTTATTCGCCGTGAACCAAGTGGGCGGAACTTAACTGCAAAACACTTATTTCTTTACAAGAAATTCAGAACATATTTTTGAGTATCGTGTTATTCAAAGAATACTATGCATATTAAGAAAAAAAAGGCTAAATATAAACCCCGCCTACCCACCCCATCTCAATTGTGATAATTTTTTTTCTTATGAAATTAAAGCACATTTAAAATGGTAAATTTTTGTGAGGAAATTTGGATTTTGAAATTAGGCTCCGCCCCTCGGTATGACAACGAATGAAAAATTCATCACAAGTGAGAATTGAAATTGGGGCGGGTATGCGTAGGCCCTAATCATTGGTTTTATTTTTTTATTAATGTACATAGTATTCTTTGAACAACACAATACTCACTCAAAAACATGTTTCGAAATTCTCGTAGGGAAATACAAATTTTGCAGTTAAGCTCCGCCTTCTTGGCTCACGACGAATAAAAAAATTCATCAGAATTGACATAGGACGGGCGGGCGGGGCATATATTGTGCCTTTGATTTTCTTAATATACGTAGCCATATTTTCACAACAAGAAACTTAAAAGCATGATACATTTTTTCAAGAAAATATGGATTTTGCAATTATCGAGTGGAAGACAAAACATAAGCCCGCCCACCCGCCCGGTCTCGATTGTGACGATTTTTTTTATTCGCCGTGAACCAAGTGGGCGGAGCTTAACTGCAAAACACTTATTTCTTTACAAGAAATTCAGAACATATTTTTGAGTATCGTGTTGTTCAAAGAATACTATTTATATTAAGAAAAAAAGGCAAAATATAAACCCCGCCCACCCATCCCATATCAATTGTAATGATTTTTTTTCTTAGAAACTTAAAACACGTTTAAAATGGTAAATTTTTGTAAGGAAATTTGGAATTTTTGCAATTAGACTCCGCCCCTCGGTCTGACAACGAATGAAAAATTCATCACAACTGAGAATTAAGATTGGGGCGGGTATAGGTGGGACCTAATCTTTGGTTTTATTTTGGTATTAATATACATAGTATTCTTTGAACAACACGATACTTACTCAAAAACATGTTTCCAATTTCTCGTAGGGAAATACAAATTTTGCAGTTAAGCTCCGCCTTCTTGGCTAACGATGAATACAAAAATTCATCAGAATTGAGACAGGGCGGGCGGGCGGGGCTTATATTTTGCCTTTAATTTTCTTAATATACGTAGCCATATTTTCACAGCAAGAAACTTAAGAACATAATACAATTTTTCAAGAAAATATGGATTTTGGAATTATCGAGTGGAAGACAAAACGTAAGCCCGCCCACCCGCCCGGTCTCGATTGTGACGATTTTTTTTATTCGCCGTTAACCAAGTGGGTGGAGCTTAACTGCAAAACACTTATTTCTTTACGAGAAATTCAGAACATATTTTTGAGTTTGGTGTTGTATAAAGAATACTATGTATATTAAGAAAAAAGGCAAAATATAAACCCCGCCCACTCGCCCCATCTCAATTGTGATGATGTTTTTCTTCTTAGAAACCTAAAACACGTTTAATATAGTAAATGTTTGTAAGGAAATTTGGATTTTGCAATTAGACTCCGCCTCTCTGTCTGACAGCGAATGAAAAATTCATCACAACAGAGAATTGATGTTGGGGCGGGTATAGGTGAGGCCTAATCTTTGACTTTATTTTTTTATTAATGTACAGAGTATTCTTTGAACAATACGATACTTACTCAAAAACATTTTTCCAATTTCTCGTAGGGAAATACAAATTTTGCAGTTAAGCTCCGCCTTCTTGGCTAACGATGAATAAAAAAAATCATCAGAATTGAGACAGGGCGGGCGGGCGGGGCTTATATTTTGCCTTTGATTTTTTTTATATACGTAGCCATATTTTCACAATAAGAAACTTAAGAGCATGACACATTTTTTTCAAGAAAATATGGATTTTGCAATTATCGGGTGGAAGGCAAAACGTAAGCCCGCCCACCCGCCCGGTCTCGATTGTGACGATTTTTTTTATTCGCCGTGAACCAAGTGGGCGGAGCTTAACTGCAAAACACTTATTTCCTTACAAGAAATTCAGAACATATTTTTGAGTATCGTGTTGTTCAAAGAATACTATGTATATAAAGAAAAAAAGGTAAAATATAAACCCGCCCACCCACCCCATTTCAATTGTAATGATTTTTTTTCTTAGAAACTTAAAACACGTTAAAAATGGTAAATTTTTGTGAGACTTGAAATACATATTAATAAACTAAAAAATCTAAAATTTAAAAATTCGAAAAATTGAAACATCGAGAAAATGAAAATTGGAAGAAAATTTGCAACGAAAAACTAAAAAATCGGAAGATAAAAACATCAAAAAAGTCAAATCTAAAATTTAAAAGCCGAAAAATCAGAAACCAAGAAATCAAAAATCCACAATTTAAAAAATCGATAAAGTGAAAAATTGAGAACTTGAAAAATTAAAAAATTTAAATGAAGAACCATTGAAATGAAGAACCATTGAAAAATCGAAACAAAGGGTCTAGAAATCGAAAAATCTAGACTCGAAAAACTGAGAAATCGAAATCGTCCAAAATCGAACAATCGTAAAGCCAAAAATTGAAAAATTGAAAAATTTCAAATAAAAAAATTCATGAACCTAAAAAATTAAAAACCGAAAAATCGAAACATTAAAAAACCAAAAAGTCCAATATTTAAAAATTTGAAAAACTAAAAAATAAAAATTGTTAAGATTAAAAATCGAAAAAGTAAAAAATCGAGAAATAGAAAAATACAATATTGAAAAATCCCAAAATTGAAACATCGACAAAATGAAAATTGGAAGAAAATTTGCAACGAAAAACTAAAAAATCGGAAAATAAAAACATCAAAAAAGCCAAGTCTAAAATTTAAAAGCCGAAAAATCGGAAACCAAGAAATCAAAAATCCACAATTTAAAAAATCGATAAAGTGAAAAATTGGAAAACTGAAGACCCGCAAAAGTGAAAAATTGAGAAACCGAAAAATTAAAAAATTGAAATGAAGAACCATTGAAAAATCGAAACAAAAGGTCTAGAAATCGAAAAATCCAGAAGTCGAAAAACTGAGAAATCGAAATCGTCCAAAATCGAATAATCGAAAAGTCAAAATTTGAAAAATTGAAAAATTTAAAATAAAAAAAAATCGATGAATCTAAATATTAAAAACTGAAAAAACGAAACATTAAAAAACCAAAAAGTCCAATATTTAAAAATTTGAAAAACTAAAAAATAAAAATTGTAAAGATTAAAAATCGAAAAAATTAAAAATTCAGAAATAGAAAAGTACAATATTGAAACATCGACAAAATGGAAATTGGAAGAAAATGTGCAACGAAAAACTAAAAAATCGGAAAATAAAAAACATCAAAAAAGTCAAATCTAAAATTTAAAAGCCGAAAAATCGGAAACCAAGAAATCAAAAATCCAAAATTTAAAAGATCGATAAAATGAAAAATTGGAAAACTGAAGAACCGCAAAAGTGAAAAATGGAGAAACCGAAAAATTAAAAAATTGAAATAACAAACCATTGAAAAATCGAAACAAAAGGTCTAGAAATCGAAAAATCCAGAAGTCGAAAAACCGAGAAATCGAAATCCTCTAAAATTGAACAATCGTAAAGCCAAAAATTGAAATATTGAAAAATTTCAAATAAAAAAAAAATCATGAATCTAAAAAATTAAAAACCGAAAAATCGAAACATTAAAAAACCAAAAAGTCCAACATTTAAAAATTTGAAAAACTAAAAAATAAAAATTGTAAAGATTAAAAATCGAAAAAGTAAAAAATCGAGAAATAGAAAAATACAATATTGAAAAATCCCAAAATTGAAACACGACAAAATGAAAATTGGAAGAAAATTTGCAACGAAAAACTAAAAAATCGGAAAATAAAAACATCAAAAAAGTCAAATCTAAAATTTAAAAGCGGAAAAATCGGAAACCAAGAAATCAAAAATCCAAAATTTAAAAAATCGATAAAATGAAAAATTGGAAAACTGAAGAATCGCAAAAGTGAAAAGTTGAGAAATTGAAATGACGAAACATTGAAAAATCGAAACAAAAGATCTAGAAGTCGAAAAAGCCAGAAGTCGAAAAACTGAGAAATCGAAGTCGTCCAAAAATAGAATAATCGTAAAGCCAAAAATTGAAAAATTGAAAAATTTCAAATAAAAAAAATTCATGAATCTAAAAAATTAAAAACCGAAAAATCGAAACATTAAAAAACCAAAAAGTCCAATATTTAAAAATTTGAAAAACTAAAAAATAAAAATTGTAAAGATTAAAAATCGAAAAAGTAAAAAATATATAAAATGGCAAATTTTTGTAAGAAAATATGGATTTTGCAGTTAAATTCCGCCCTCTTGACTAACGACCAATAAAAAAAATAATCACAATTGAGACAGGGTGGGTGGGCGGGGCTTATATTTTGCCGTTGTTCTTAAAATACGTTGTTGTCTTTTCAGAACAAGAAACTTGAAACATGCAAAATGTTAAATTCTTATAGACAAATACGAATCTTGCAATTAAGCCCCTCCCCTCGATCTGACAACGAATGAAAAATTCATCACAACTGTAGTAATATACCTAGTATTCTTTGAACAACACGATACTCAAAACATATTTTTAATTTTTCGCAGAGAAATAAGGATTTTGCAGTTAAGCTCCGCCCTCTTGGCTCACGACGAATAAAAAAAATCATCAGAATTGCGACAGGGTGGGTGGGCGGGGTTTATAATTTGCCTTTATTTTCGTAACATGTGCAGACTACTATTTCGACAACAAGAAACTCAAAACATGTCTGAAATGGTAAATTTTTGTAGGAAGTTTATAAATCCCAGTGATGACGAAAATTGTGTCGGCGCCGCCACTGGCCGACATCGACATACCTGAGGTCCGGAGCCAGCCGAACGTCTGTGGGAACGCGCCGAGTGCATCATCTCACATCCCCACTCCTCTTAAGCTCATTCCGGCTACTGAGACATGCGACTCTTGAGGTACAGGATCGCATTCCGCGCTCGACTGTCGCAGTGTGTAGACGGTACACCGCAGTGCAAAAGATAGACGTAGTGCCTTCCGGTGATACAAAACGGAGCCATGGTGACGGGAACCAACAGTAACCCGGTGCAGAACAACCCCGTGTCCGCCCCCAGCAACCCCCCCATGGAGATGGCGTCCACCACCAAGAGGGTCAGTGATAACAGAAGGGTAGGTACTTGTGTATTGTATTTTTTGGCAGGCGCTCGTTGGCGCGGGCTAGTGCTATTTTCATCTGACGGATGTTTTGAAAAGTGCCGGGATTTCTGCCAAGAGCGCTCGTGTCTCTTGAGTAATTTGGTTTCCCACGATCTTACAGTTTCTTTATTTTCAGAGCAATAAACCGATCATGGAGAAACGGAGGCGGGCGAGGATAAATAATAGTTTGAATGAACTGAAGACGCTGATTCTGGACGCCATGAAAAAAGACGTAAGTTGATTATACACGGGTCACGGTTTTCGCGAGTGCGCGGGGTTGGGTACAGTAGTGAGAACAAGTTTGAAAAAAACTTAACGTCTTCATTGGTTCGCAGACATATTATTATGTAATAATTTCGGACCTCCCCTATAATCTTTTTTAATTAGATTATGAAATTTGTGCCGCTTGCACGAACTTAACGCATATTCGGTGTCCATTATAATCTCATTTCGACTCAACTGACAACTTAATCATGTGGAAACGGCGGTCATCTGGACTTGAGTTTCACAAAGGCCCGCCTGTTCTTCGAAAATCTTTTCAGACTAAATTAGTGTGGTCATTAAGACGTTCCGCCTCTGCTTCGGAAATAAGCCACAATAGTTGAGTTTGGTTAATTAACGCGCCTACATTTTCGGGTTATTACGGAGTAGTGTCTTCTTCGAAAGTCTTATATGTGTGATTTATGAATCTGTCGCGAGTTTTTACTGACATCCAAATCTTTATGAAGAAATTCAAAATTATATTTTATAATTTAACTTTGAATTTTGAGTGCTTTTGTGAAAAAAACGTGTGATTCTTGTAATCTGAACGTGCGAATCGTAGAATTCCTTGGAAGTATATACATAAACAGTCGAAGTTAAGCATGTACTAAGAAGTTGAGTGTCCACATTTTTCCCGTTGATTATCTGTTTCAAATATACTTAAAAAATAAAGTTAAGAAATGGAAAATTTTAAAATAAAAAACAAAATGAAAAAATTGAACCGCCCCCACTTTCACCGCCGCCTTCTGTTGCAGCCCGCCCGACATTCCAAGCTCGAGAAAGCCGACATTCTCGAAATGACCGTCAAGCACCTCCAGAACCTGCAGCGGCAGCAAGCCGCCATGTCCGCCGCCACCGACCCGTCCGTCGTGAGCAAGTTCCGCGCCGGCTTCAGCGAGTGCGCCACCGAGGTGGGCCGCTTCCCCGGCCTGGACCCCATCGTGAAGCGCCGCTTGCTGCAGCACCTCGCCAACTGCCTCAACCAGGGCTCCAAGCCCCAGGAGGTGCCGCAGGTGCAGGTCCACATCGTGCCCAACCCCGAGGTGGCCCAGAACAACGGCATCATCCTCAGCAACGGCAACGGCACCGGGGTGCAGCTCGTGCCCACGCGCCTGCCCAACGGCGACATCGCGCTGGTGCTGCCCACGGCGGCCGCCACACAAGGGGGCAGCGGGTCGCCGCTGCCGCTGCTCGTGCCCATTCCGCAGCGGACGTCGTCCACGGCGTCGGCGGCGTCCTCGAGCTACTCGCCCAGTCACAGTCCCGAGCCGGAGGCGGCGTACCACCAGCCCAAACCGCTGTCGCTGGTGGTGCGGCGGTGCCAGGAGCCCTCGGAGGAGAAGCCGTGGCGGCCGTGGTAGGGGCGGGTTGTGATCCAAGCGAAATGTGATACTGATGAGAGGAGTGATTCTTCTTGAGTTTGCCATTTAGGTTAGGGAAAGCGTATTATTGTACATAAGTGACGTTATTTTGTTGTATATTGTGTACTTTTTTTAAAAGATGTTAAGTTATTAATATTTTAGGTTAAGAACGACGATGTGCCTTATCAACAGCAAGATCATTTATGTCTTCCATGTTGGTAAATATGATGTTTATATTAAATTGTATCATATTTTTAATAAAAACGTCTATTTTAATACGAAGGTGTTTGTTTTCCGAAAATAATGCGGGGGGTTGCCGTGTTTTGTTGGTTGCATACCACACAACAAGTCGCTGAAGCCGTTTGTGATAATATTTATAAACTTCATTTTTCTCTAGGGATATTTGCATATACTAAATTGGTTTCCAACCAAATTACTAGATTTGCATGGCCTAAAACATCCTGCTTTTTAAAATATCAAACTATGTAAATTCGAAAAGAAGTTTCATTAGTTTTCTTTTTCCCTAAAGTGGGATTATAAACTTACTGTTGACGTTCCCGAAATACGTCTACACATATTAAGAAAAAAAAGACAAATTGTAGCCCCGCCCACCCACCCTATCTCAATTATGATTGTTTATATTCGCCGTGAGCCCAGGGGGCGACTTACCATTTTAAACGTGTTTTAACTTTCTAACAATAAAAAAAATCATCACAAATTACACCAAAATTGAAAAATCGAAAACTTAATAATTGAAAAATTGAAACATTTTAAATGAAAAAAATCGGTAAACCGAAAAATTGAAAAATCTATAAATCGAGAAATTGAACAATCTAAAAATTAAACAATTTAAAAATCGAAGAATTGGAAAACCAAAAAATCTAAACCGAGAACTTGAAAAATCGAATAATCGAGAAATCAAAACATTAAGGAAAACAAAAAAAATAACAGAAAACCTAGAACTTAAAAATTGAAAAATTAAAATACCTATCGCAAAATTGAAAAACCGAGAAATCGAAACATCAAAAAATGGAAAAATTGAAGAACCGAAACATTGCAAAATCTCAGAACTAAAATACTGAAAAACTGAAAAATGGAAGGAAAATTGAAAAATCGAAAAAGTGAAAAAATTCAAAACTGAAATTTTGAAAAAGTGAAAAATGGAAAGAAAATTGAAGAATCGGAAAAGTGAAAAAATCCAAAACTGAAACATTGAAAAATCGAAACAAAAGATCTAAAAGTCGAAAAATCCAGAAGTCGAAAAACTGAGAAATCGAAATCGTGCAAAATCGAATAATCGAAAAGTCAAAATTTGAAAAATTGAAAAATTTAAAATAAAAAAAATCGAATCTAAAAATTAAAAACTGAAAAAACGAAACATTAAAAAACCAAAAAGTCCAATATTTAAAAATTTGAAAAACTAAAAAATAAAAATTGTAAAGATTAAAAATCGAAAAAGTAAAAAATCCAGAAATAGAAAAGTACAATAAGTATTGAAACATCGACAAAATGAAAATTGGAAGAAAATTTGCAACGAAAAACTAAAAAATCGGAAAATAAAAACATCAAAAAAGTCAAATCTAAAATTTAAAAGCCGAAACATCGGAAACCAAGAAATCAAAAATCCAAAATTTAAAAAATCGATAAAATGAAAAATTGGAAAACTGAAGAACCGCAAAAGTGAAAAATTGAGAAACCGAAAAATTAAAAAATTGAAATGACGAACCATTGAAAAATCGAAACAAAAGGTCTAGAAATCGAAAAATCCAGAAGTCGAAAAACTGAGAAATCGAAATCGCCCAAAATCGAATAATCGAAAAGTCAAAATTTGAAAAATTGAAAAATTTAAAATAAAAAAAATCGAATCTAAAAATTAAAAACTGAAAAAACGAAACATTAAAAAACCAAAAAGTCCAATATTTAAAAATCTGAAAAACTAAAAAATAAAAATTGTAAAGATAAAAAATCGAAAAAGTAAAAAATATATAAAATGGTAAATTTTCGTAAGAAAATATGGATTTTGCAGTTAAATTCCGCCCTCTTGACTAACGACCAATAAAAAAAATCATCACAATTGAGATAGGGTGGGTGGGAGGGGCTTATATTTTGCCGTTGTTCTTAAAATACGTAGTTGTCTTTTCAGAACAAGAAACTTGAAACATGCAAAATGTTAAATTTTTATAGACAAATACGGATCTTGCTATTAAGCCCCTCCCCTCGATCTGATTTAAAAATCGAAGAATTGGAAAACCAAAAAATCTAAACCGAGAACTTGAAAAATCGAATAATCTAGAAATCAAAACATTAAGGAAAACAAAAAAATTAACGGAAAATCTAGAAATTAAAAATTGAAAAATTAAAATATCGAAAAACTGAAAAACCGAGAAATCGAAACATCAAAAAATGGAAAAATTGAAGAACCGAAACATTGCAAAATCTCAGAACTGAAATACTGAAAAACTGAAAAATGGAAGTAAAATTGAAAAATCGAAAAAGTGAAAAAATTCAAAACTGAAATCTTGAAAAACTGAAAAATGGAAAGAAAATTGAAGAATCGGAAAAGTGAAAAAATCCAAAACTGAAACATTGAAAAATCGAAACAAAAGATCTAAATGTTGAAAAATCCAGAAGTCGAAAAACTGAGAAATCGAAATCGTGCAAAATCGAATAATCGAAAAGTCAAAACTTGAAAAATTGAAAAATTTAAAATAAAAAAAATCGATGAATCTAAAAATTAAAAACTGAAAAAACGAAACATTAAAAAACCAAAAAGTCCAATATTTAAAAATCTGAAAAACTAAAAAATAAAAATTGTAAAGATTAAAAATCGAAAAAGTAAAAAATCCAGAAATAGAAAAGTACAATATTGAAACATCGACAAAATGAAAATTGGAAGAAAATTTGCAACGAAAAACTAAAAAATCGGAAAATAAAAACACCAAAAAAGTCAAATCTAAAATTTAAAAGCCGAAACATCGGAAACCAAGAAATCAAAAATCCAAAATTTAAAAAATCGATAAAATGAAAAATTGGAAAACTGAAGAACCGCAAAATTGAAAAATTGAGAAGCCGAAAAATTAAAAAATTGAAATGACGAACCATTGAAAAATCGAAACAAAAGGTCTAGAAACCGAAAAATCCAGAAGTCGAAAAACTGAGAAATCGAAATTGTCCAAAATCGAATAATCGAAAAGTCAAAATTGAAAAATTGAAAAATTTAAAATAAAAAAAATCGTTGAATCTAAAAATTAAAAACTGAAAAAACGAAACATTAAAAAACCAAAAAGTCCAATATTTAAACATTTGAAAAACTAAAAAATAAAAATTGTAAAGATTAAAAATCGAAAAAGTAAAAAATATATAAAATGGTAAATTTTCGTAAGAAAATATGGATTTTGCAGTTAAATTCCGCCCTCTTGACCAACGACCAATACAAAAAATCATCACAATTGAGATAGGGTGGGTGGGCGGGGCTTATCTTTTGCCGTTGTTCTTAAAATACGGAGTTGTCTTTTGAGAACAAGAAACTTGAAACATGTAAAATGTTAAATTCTTATAGACAAATACGGACTTGCAATTAAGCCCCTCCCTCGATCTGATTTAAAAATCGAAGAATTGGAAAACCAAAAAATCTAAACCGAGAACTTGAAAAATCGAATAATCGAGAAATCAAAACATTAACGAAAACAAAATAATTAACGGAAAATCTAGAACTTAAAAATTGAAAAATTAAAATATCTATCGAAAAATTGAAAAACCGAGAAATCGAAACATCAAAAAATGGAAAAATTGAAGAACCGAAACATTGCAAAATCTCGGAACTGAAATACTGAAAAACTGAAAAATGGAAGAAAAATTGAAAAATCGAAAAAGTGAAAAAATTCAAAACTGAAATCTTGAAAAACTGAAAAATGGAAAGAAAATTTAGGAATCGGAAAAGTGAAAAATCCAAAACTGAAACATTGAAAAATCGAAACAAAAGATCTAAAAGTCGAAAAATCCAGAAGTCGAAAAACTGAGAAACCGAAATCGTGCAAAATCGAATAATCGAAAAGTCAAAATTTGAAAAATTGAAAAATTTTAAATAAAAAAAATCGATGAATCTAAAAATTAAAAACTGAAAAAACGAAACATTAAAAAACCAAAAAGTCCAATATTTAAAAATTTGAAAAACTAAAAAATAACAATTGTAAAGATTAAAAATCGAAAAAGTAAAAAATCGAGAAATAGAAAAATACAATATTGAAACATCGACAAAATGAAAATTGGAAGAAAATTTGCAACGAAAAACTAAAAAATCGGAAAATAAAAACATCAAAAAAGTCAAATTTAAAAGCCGAAACATCGGAAACCAAGAAATCAAAAGTCCAAAATTTAAAAAATCGATAAAATGAAAAATTGGAAAACTGAAGAACCGCAAAAGTGAAAAATTGAGAAACCGAAAAATTAAAAAATTGAAATGACGAACCATTGAAAAATCGAAACAAAAGGTCTAGAAATCGAAAAATCCAGAAGTCGAAAAACTGAGAAATCGAAATCGTCCAAAATCGAATAATCGAAAAGTCAAAATTGAAAAATTGAAAAATTTAAAATAAAAAAAATCGATGAATCTAAAAATTAAAAACTGAAAAAACGAAAGATTAAAAAACCAAAAAGTCCAATATTTAAAAATCTGAAAAACTAAAAAATAAAAATTGTAAAGATTAAAAATCAAAAAAGTAAAAAATATATAAAATGGTAAGTTTTCGTAAGAAAATATGGATTTTGCAGTTAAATTCCGCCCTCTTGACTAACGACCAATACAAAAAATCATCACAATTGAGATAGGGTTGGTGGGCGGGGCTTATATTTTGCCGTTGTTCATAAAATACGTAGTTGTCTTTTCAGAACAAGTAACTTGAAGTATGTAAAATGTTAAATTCTTATAGACAAATACGGATCTTGCAATTAAGCCCCTCCCCTCGATCTGATTTAAAAATCGAAGAATTGGAAAACCAAAAAATCTAAACCGAGAACTTGAAAAATCAAAACATTAAGGAAAACAAAAAAATTAACGGAAAATCTAGAACTTAAAAATTGAAAAATTAAAATACCTATCGAAAAATTAAAAAACCGAGAAATCGAAACATCAAAAAATGGAAAAATTGAAGAACCGAAACATTGCAAAATCTCAGAACTGAAATACTGAAAAACTGAAAAATGGAAGGAAAATTGAAAAATCGAAAAAGTGAAAAAATTCAAAACTGAAATCTAGAAAAACTGAAAAATGGAAAGAAAA